TTTTCCCAGTAAGTTGATTAAAATTGGCACGCAAATCACGGGCGGTGTGAAACAGATTCGTTAAACTAGACCTGATGAGTAGCCGGTCTTCGCGCTGCGTTGTACGCCTTGGTCGACCTGATCGACGTCGATTGCCCATACTACCTCGTTGAAACGTATGGAGCCTTCAGAAATTCCCAGTCTTCTTGCAATTTCCCTATTAGACACTCCTTCTGTATACAGTGCTTCAATGTTCCCTTTAGTAAATTCTAACTTTCGGCATGGCTCAATGTTTGTAAATAAAAATTATGTATCTGACACTATGACCTCGATAGGAATATTCATGAACTACAACTGACAGGTATTCCCGCCCAGAAGCTCGTGTTGAAACAATTTCAGCTTCCCAATTGGTTCAAATTTGCATGAGAAAGGACACGACTATCGTATATGTTTTATGGCGCGAAGTTTTAATGAGATGCAAATGATATGCAAATGAGCGCGCTCCCATAGAGTTAACCATGGCGATTTTCGCTCACTGAAAAAACGTCTACATACAAAAAAACTAAACACAAATCAACCATTTTATTTTGACTAAAATGCACTAGTTCTTCTTAAATTTAGTATATTTTAAAGTCAACACATGTTACCCGGAATTGTTATTTTAGTTACGAAAACGATCAAATGACAGGTGCGTAAATACTTTCTGGCGGGTCTGTACATGTGTACTATGATTTTGGGAGCCATGGTGATACCCGCGACTTAGCCGGGACCGCGAGTTATTGAGGCGCGAGTTATCGAAGGGCCACTGCATTTTTTAAATTACCATATTTTATTTGTTATTTTTGTATATATCGCCTTAAATATACAAAAATAACAATAAATAACATGTGTAAATTAATTTTAAATAAATAAAAAAAACAATTGGATTTTAATTTGATTGCTACCACACTTGTTCTATTAGAAACTCATCTAGTAAAGACAACATCATGTCTTCATGGGAAATAAATTTCTGTATGTGATCCACACGCGAGAATGAAACTAGTTCTGACCAATACTACCCAATGCAATGAACACTTCATGATGACCATGATAAGGCGCGAGGTTATCAGACACATATTTAAGAAAATACAAAAATGCAGTACAGCCTACAGACAGGGGATACAGAAGGAAACAGAAAAAATATTATCCTAACTAATCTGTCACAAGCTCCCCGAATTGTTTTTTTGTCAGAACAATATTTGCTAGTCCATATTATCCTTACTTTTTGTCTAAGAGGGGTTGGGCAATCCATTTCTTCAATAGTCTCTGTCCAAATCGAGTTGTTGTATGGTCTAACATCCAAAACAAAGTACCTTTAGTGCCGCCATCCAGCTGCAAACAAACATACAATTAACCTGACATAAATTAAAGAATATTATTACATATGTACTGCAGTTCATTTTGATTCGTCCCTGAAATCAAAATCGGTATTTCCACAACCCATATGCAAATGAGGTCTGAGAGCAAAATAGTACCAGGAGTACCGTTTTTCGAAATAAACAATATTTAGAAGTACGATATTTTCCCCTTGGGGTACATGAATATACTTGCCGAGTGAAATGAAATTTGAACAACAGTAATGGTACATTTAGGCAGTCACTTATTTTGACTCAAACTAATTTGCATATCACTCATGCAATAATGTTTTCGGTACTTTCACGGTCAATATGCAAATGAACATGGTATTTCCATTGGCTACCGAACTATTTTTATTCTTTAAACACATTTTCGTCCACTATTTTATCTGGTTCAAATCGTTCAGCAACATTTTTGGCATGTCAGATGTACTTCACATGGAATACTACGATTGGGAGAACTTAATGTATGTTGACCACCTGGAAAATGAGTTTTATAAACCTTGAAGGGCTCTCCGAAGATCCACCAGCAGTAAAATCAGTGATTACTATGTAGCCGCAACCATCAACATCGAGATACCAGGTTTCTGCTGGCGACGTTGCGGCGTTACTGAGTTCGAAATAAAGATTATTAATGCCAAATGAGCAACATTTTAACCGGTAACCAAGACTCGTTCAATCCACGACCAGCAGGCAACATCACAAAAGAAGTTGTAGCTTGCAACTCAGCGACGACCGCCGTCGACGAAAGTCATCTCGTCAGTGGAGTATCGTAGTTGCACGGCATGTTTGCCAATACACAATTCAGTGAAGGAACTTTTAACTTCAACAAAAACTGTGTATTGTAGTCGTCCAGTCCATGTTCTGGTTCTGTCGTGGCCCCAACTAAACGCCCACGAGTTACTTATTCAGACAGTGATTCAGATTAGACGTATGATTATTTTATTTCCACACAGACAGTGACACGCGTTCTACATTTTTCTATCATGATTTGTTGCAGTTGTTTCTTTAATACGAAATAATCAAATATGGAACATATGTAATAATAACAGAACCCCAGACCCTCCCCGTGGCTTTCGTTGTGTATGTAAGTTTCGCTCATGAAAGTACGGCTGCAGGATACACCGCACCACTCCATAGGCAACGAAAGCCATTGGGAGGGTGTGGGGTTCTGTCATAGTTTCATAATTTCAGAGTGGGTAAGAACGTTCTATGATTCCTAAACTCATCAACACCCATATACAATTAATCTTTGAGAGCACCTTGTATTTCTCTCCATGCTTTACTCACATCATTTGTAAATATTTCCAAGTTCTTCAAAGTACATGCGTTTAACTTCATGTAATTAGCACCAGGAGTAAAAGGCTTGACGTTGCTAGGATACAAAATATGGTAAAAGATTAGGGTATTTAGTGACAACATAATGTAGAATGTGAACACAACTACTGTTCTATTCAAGATCAGAGAGAGTACATTATTGAAAACAAGAAAAAGGAAAAAAGATGAGGTGGGATGAAGGAGGATAATGATGATGAAAAATGATGTTTTGTGTTTTCAACAGTAGAGGCTATATTGTACGAGGAGGAACAAATTATGATTTTCTTGGATTTGTGAAAAATTTTCTCTTACAAAATTACACTGCTCATCTATTAGGCTATGCAGCTTTCTAAATTGAAATTGTAAGAATATAAACATACCTTGTCAGCTTTAAGACGTTCTCCAAGTGAAAATCCTGTAAATACTTGATGAGAGCAGCGTAGCAAGACAGAACAGATTTCGGGAGATTGACAACCTGCTGCAGTTTGTTACCTGCAAAGAGAAGAATATAAATGTGAGAAATGGTACCAAGCTAAGTATACTACAGATGAACTGGCTACTAAACTAAGGAGGCTCAGAATGAAATAAATGCCACACTTAATTGAGCATGCTCATAAACGAACTACTGTAGATTGAAAGTTGGGCCAATGTTATCGGTTATGCCATCAGCCGATGTGTATATCTCAGGGCAGAAAAGAGCACTTAGAAAAATACACAACAGTTACATAATAAATAGTTATTCTTCTGCTCCATATCAGAATAGTTGATGAACAATACCAATGACTCGGGGTATTTGGGCGTTAGCATGGAATAGAGGTGTGTAGTTTGATATACACCACTGTTTTGAACAATCATGTTGAAAATCACCCTGTTCATTCTTTGAGAAGCAGCCTGGACACGTTTTAAGAATCAGAATTTAGCATTAGTGAGGAACAAAATGGTCGCCAGTCAGGCATATTTGATCAACTGGTAATGAAAATTGCATGCATATGTAAATCAAAACTCACAACCATGTGGAAGCTTAACCAAAATACTTGCACTCCACAGCCATACTTAAATATGCTCCCGTGAAATCCTAAAATATTGCATTACAGTGCAGAATTTAAAATTTTGTTATTATGATGAGAACATTCCACATCATTTGCACAATATGGATGTACATCTTATTCTTTCATATAATGTCTTACCAAACAGAAGGGTATCATCAAATGAATAATTAATTAGACGGATAGTGACATCACATTACCTGGTGAACTTGCTTGAGACGTGGAGTCGTCATTTACATTTCCACCGCCATAATCGTCGTCATTATTATTGCAAAAATCTGATATTGACTGAAACGCCGAATTATAATGAAAATTCTGATCTTCCATTCTCTCAATTCTTATTCTGTCTTCTTTCTTGATGCTGTGACATTTAGAAGAAAATGTCGACAAATAAGGTCCAATTATTACTCTTAATGTAAACATCTGTCACTATAATCACATACAATGTTATAACTAAGCTTTAGTGAAGACCATACCCAAGACCAAAATCCTAACAAGCTGTCAAAAAACTGATTGCCTAAATGCCCTTACCTGTGACATTCCTGTACTTTTAATTAGTTTTGGCCTTGCAATTTGGTGTCCTCAAGGTTCCGAAGTCCAAGCTTAGAAAACAGGTACTAGTTACAGTGAGAATTGCTAACCCCAAATGCACATAGCCAGCTGATAAACTTTACAGACAGCCCCTATGAATAGTATATAATGGAATCTGAAGGCTATAGTGTACAACAGTAATATACCGGACGAATGAATAATTTTGAAAATTAAATGACTTACCAACTTGCAGTGACAGTCCTCATGAGTTTCTCGGTATGTTCTGATAATGTCATTGGGAGTAAGAGTTCCACTGGTTGTATGTGGCTTATTCTCATTTCCAATTCACTGCGGGAGGTACCATCTACAAACTCATCATATATAATGTCGCCAGTACTTGGTTGTACAGCCTGAAATAGCGAGTCACTAAATATCATTAATATGGTAGCATGAAGTACAAGTACAGGGGGAGGGTGAAGCAACGACAAAAAACAACATCAACATCAACATCAACATCACTTTGTGTACAAGTTTTACAAATAAAATTGGAATTTGTATCAAGGGGCAGGATTTACACAAAGAGTAAGCTTACAATGTACTCACTTCACGTATAGGAATCAAACATAAAATTTAAAACCAGTGTCAATTTCATGGTTTACAGTATTGATCAAACACACAAGCAGCCAATCCCTTTGATTACTTGCTTGGTTCAATGCTTTAAATGCATCATTTTTATGCACCATTTTTATCCATCATTTGTCCTGGTTTATAGAACAACTTGCTAGCAATGGTATCACAGTAGATCACAAACTAGTGCTGATCAGTAAGAGACATTTGTTCTTAGACATT